AGTCAGAAGCTAATGCAGTATGGAAAATGGTTGGGGAGTTTTTTGAAGCCCTGAGACAATCCGGTCCAAGTCAACTGGCCCTTGTCACCACCATTTTCGGGATCCTCCCACTGGAAGGAGAAGATCGATTGGCTCTGGAGGGTCAGGCAGTCGGGGAGGTACAGGAATTCATGGATGGCTTCATGGCTGCCTAAACTGCATCCCCGAGGCAGCAGGAAGGGACAGCCTCTCTGATTGTCCGTGGAACCCACAATAGTGGCTTGTCTCTGTGAGAGGGGGCCCACGTGTTGTGTCACCACCAAGTGTTCTGCCCCAGTATCTACCGTGAAGTCAATGGGTCGCCATACCCCCCCCCCCCACATTCATTTGGACCATAGGCTCTTGGGGGCCTAACAAAATAGAGCCAGGCTGCCCTAGTCCTCCTCATAGTCCTCCTTGGTGGCTAGCCCCATAAAATCACCTCATGGGGGCCCCATGAGGCCGTGATGTTGGTTGGCACCAGTCCTGGACCACTTGGCCTCTTCCTTTCGGCTTGAGGCCCTGCTGAAAATTACCCAGCTGCGGGGGACACTCATTTTCCCAGTGGCCCTCCCGGCGACAGTACGCACACTGGTTCCGTCCTAACTTTGGTCCTGGGTGAGACCCCTCCCCCCCCGACGTTCCCCTTTTCGGCCCTGGCCTCGCCCCTGCGGGGCACCTTTCCGGGAGGGCTCTGACCACTCCACCGAGGCAGCAGCTAACAAGTCCGCCTTTTTCTGCCTTTTTTGGTCACGGTTGACAAACCCCTCAGTTGCCACTTTCAGCAACCGACTGGCATTCATGCTGGTGAAACCCTGCAGCTTTTGCAGCCTGTGCCGGATGTCCCTTTGGGCCTGAGCTACGAAAGCCACGCTGACCATCCGCTGGTTAACGGGCGCCTCCGGGTCAAAAGGGATGTAGAGACGAAATGCCTCACATAGTCTCTCACAGGACTGGCTAGGGCTCTCCTCGGGTCCCTGGAGCACTTCTGATGTCTTACTCATATTTATGGCCTTTCCCCCCTTCCTTCATGCCATTTAGAAGGGCTTCTTGCTACCCTTCAGTCCTTGCGAGCCCTCCATCTACGTTTGAGTCATTTGGGTCCCATTTGGGGTCCTTCCCGGGGAAGTGAGCCTGAGCCTAAGCCTGGGTGTCTAGCGTCCCAGCCGGGGCACTCTCCTCTAACCATTTTAGGGCTGCCTGGGTAATTCAGCGACGCTCCTCCATGCGGAAGGGGGGTCGGGAGGAGTTGACGGCAGTCTGTCCAGGTAGGATTATGGGTTTGAGTTACGGACTGCATTAGTTCAATCACAGCCTGGGGCTTCTCTGTATAGGAGGGAGTTTAGGAGGTCCAGAGTGGTAAAGGGTTGGTACACAAAAACACGCTGGCCTCCTCAGATCTGGCCTTCCTGATCGTAATAGACGGGTCCCCTAGTTTCCCTCAGTGGCACCTGTAGGGCTCCCCGGTATTGCTACAGGAAGGGACTGTCTCTGCTGGCCTGATTTTCTAGGTGCCTTCCGGGAGGGGTGTATGGGGTTAGGACCGGTGGTCCGGGCGAGCCGGTCACAGCCGGAGAGGCCGGTGGTGCTAGAGGCGGTGAGGACTCGGGACTACGGGCAGCCTCCGGTGGGGTTTCAGCAGCCGGGGTGGCCGGAGGCGCAGGTGGCAATGAGGGCTACAGAGGAGCACATAGCGGTGGGGTTTCCTCAGGCTCTCCCGACAGTATGGGTTTTTCAGTGTCCGGCCAGCATTTGGAGGAAGCCGTGACACGAGCCATCATAACTTTACAGCTCTCTTTGATATAGACTTTCAGCCAAGGTGGCCGGGATAGGACCAGGTCTTGCCAACGGTCAATGTAAGGACATTGGTCAGGGTGGCCTGGATCCCCCACAACGACCCCGAACACTCGGCCAACCAGTTCCTTATCAAGTGGGCGCTCGGAGGGCCAGCTTACCCCAAACAATGTTCCATCAGTTTCACAGAATGTCTGGAGCTTTCTGGGAGTTAATGTCACACCATAATCTCCTGAATATCCCTTTTTGAATTTTCTCGACAGACACTCTAGGGGAGCCGGTTTACTCTGCTTTCCACCCATTTCCTCCCCCTGACAGACAACTTTCATGCACAAGAGAGGAAAAAGGGGGAAGGGGGGGCTAATTTGGAGAGAGTACATTGCTTTGTCCATTTCCCGCCACTCTCCTCTCGGAGATATTTCAGGAGCCCCTCAGCATTGGCAGGTTCCATATTAATCCCTGACCAGGATCAGATTCCTGAGGAAGCCTGACGCCGTCTTCAGCCATATGAGGTTGCCACGGAACCACGGATCGGGACTCAACACTGGCTTTGGCCCTTGGTCAGGTTGGAACCTTTCCATTGTCTATCACTTTCACACACAGTCACATAGCGACTCCAACCTGCTGCCCAGTGCCCAGCACCTTAGAGTTGTGGTTTTGTTCCTTTTTCCTTAGGGAACTACTCAGGCAACTCTGGGACTCTGGGGGGTGATCAGGCTCTCCTTCTTCCTCTTAGAGTCAGGTCTACCAAAAGGAACTCCAGGTTCTTACCAGTCTGTTGGGCGGTGCTCCCTGAGCTGGTTCCTGGGCCTCACCGTGTGTGTGTGTGTGTGTGTGTGTGTGTGTGTCCTTTGTGCATCCGGGTCCTTGCCCTGGCGAGCTGGGATGGGCTAGTCTCCTATGGATCAAGTGGTCTGCTGGTGGTAGGCGAGGTCGCCTCTCCCGGTACCCCGAGGTTGGTACCCCAGCAACGGGTGGGGGGGGAGCGGGTGGAAATGCACCGTCTCTGAATCCTAGATGAGCCCTCATGTAATGTAATGGGACTGAGGTTTGTACAGACAGAGTCGTGACACCAAGGCTTTCCTTTCTAGGAAGGAACTTGATTCATGCCCTCACGGGCTCAGTGGGTTCGTACCTGAAAAGCTGAGCCCCGAGCGCAGCGGGTTGTGGCCTTTTATACGATTTCTACTTCTTTGTCTCCCATACATGGTGACATGCAGACATGCAGTCTGGGTGGTCTATGTTAGAGTTGTGAGGAATGTCACCTGTGCGCGCATAGCCTCCCTCGTCTTGAGGTTTTCACCACATTCCTTAGGTGTGACAGTGCCTGGAGCATATTGGTACAGACCTCATAGTTCTGAAGGTACCTAAAGCGGTGAGAAACTTAGTATTTAAAAAAGAAGGATGGGGAGCCCGAAAGGTCAGTCGGTTGAGCATCTGACTCTTGATTTCGGCTCAGATCATGATCTCAGGGTTGGTGGGTTCGGCGGCCCCCCCCCCCCCCCCGCCCCGGCTCTCTGCTGTCAGCACAGAGCCTGCTTCGGATCCTGGGTCTCCATCTCCCTCTCTCTCTCTCTCTCTGCCCCTCACCCCCCTCCCACAGCGCACTCTCTCTCTCTCTCACTCTTAAAAATAAACATTTATAAATAAATAAACTAAAATAAAAAAGAAGGACAGTGGCCAACACTAGGAAATAAGTTTCTCTGTGGGGCCCGGCATTGCAACTGCTTTACCGACATCCGTCACTCACAAGCGAGAAAGGCAGGACGAAGGAATAAGGCATCAGTGGATGCCACGGCACAGAGGGCACGCTTTCCCAAGGCCACAGAGCCCCCCTTCACTCTGGGGACACACGGGTGCTGTGAAACTGGTGTCTGATTAACTCCCACCAGAGGAAACCCATCATTACTGCCATCACCTTACGGGACCGTGGTGTCCACAACTGGTGACTTTTCACGCAGAACCCCATTAAAGGAGCCTCACGTTGCTAAAGAGCCCTCAGAGACAAAGGTTGAACTGAGACGAGTTTAACGCTTTTTTTTTTTTTAATTTTTTTTTCAACGTTTATTTATTTTGGGGACAGAGAGAGACAGAGCATGAACGGGGGAGGGGCAGAGAGAGATGGAGACACAGAATCGGAAACAGGCTCCGGGCTCCGAGCCGTCAGCCCAGAGCCCGACGCGGGGCTCGAACTCCCGGACCGCGAGATCGTGACCTGGCCGAAGCCAGACGCTCAACCGACTGCGCCACCCAGGCGCCCCTTTAACGCTTTTTAAAAAGGGGGCCCGCGTTCGCTTTGGCAGCGCATACGCCAAAATTGGAACGACGCAGAGAAGAGGGGCATGGCCTCTGCACTTCACTGAGCCTTACTTGTTTGGGTTTTTTCCTACGCTGGTCTTCTCAACACAAAGACAGCAGAGGTACGACCTCTTCTTTACAAGGAGGGATTATTCTAGAACACTGCTCCGACCGTTTCCTTACTCTTGCTCTGAGCAGCAGTAAACCAACAGGCCCCCTTTTAGTGTTTGGAATTGGGGTGCTCTCAAGGATGTGAAGGGTGACAAAATGCTTCTGAGCTGGGGAAGGATCAATAATGTGCTTTCCTCGGCTGGTGGGGGGAGGGGGGAAAAAGGGAGAAGAGCCTCTTTCTGGCCTTGACGGACTCCCTTCTCATTTTTCTTTTAAAGCTGCAGAACCTGTGTGCTAGAATGGATTCCAGTCCCCGGTCTCCTCCGCAAAAGGGCGGGTAGTGGCCAGGATTGGAAACATAGTGTATGCGTGTTCGGTGGCCGCCTTCCCATAAATCCCCGTGAGTAACCTCTTAGGAGGTGTCCCCCAGAGTCCAGGCTTCGGCCTGAACTTGTCAGCATGGACGGAGCTCATCTCTGGAAGAAACACTGCTCTCTCACTAGGGACTCCTCCCACCCCATTTTGCACATACTTGTGGTCCCGAAGGAGCAAGGTGGGGATGACGATGGGGTGAGGGAGGGAGGGATGGTGGAGATACAGGTCAGCGCCGAGTCATCATGGGCACTCGGGGAACTTCTGCGACATGCAGGGCCTCCAGATGGTGACTCAGGGAGGTCTCCTCATGAAAGGAGGCCTCCTCGTCATCCTGTGTAAATGGCATTTCCTTTGCAATTTGCATACACACCCTACTTGCTCCCGTTTGATACACAAAGGCAAAGGCACAGAAAAATTTTCTCTTTATTGATAACACAACTGCGGAGGAGAAAAGGGTGGCAGGGGCAACAAGGCGGCCCGGGTGTCAGTGGCACCGGAAGAACCCATCTCCAATCTGGCTTCTGAACGAGAGCGACATTCTAGGGCCCGTCCAGCATTAGGATGACCAGGTGTTCCAGGTTAGTAGGTGGAGTAGTTGTGGGCATTGATGCCCTCTCAGTTCTCCTGAGCTTGGCTCTCCTGTTCTTAAACCAAACCTGCAGTCAGAGGGAAAAGGGGATCGGTTTAGTACATCGAACAGTTAACGTCCGAAGACAAAAGCCACTACCTACGTGCAAGTGTGTGCACCACTGAGATTTCATGCTGCGCCAAGGGAAGCTGTTTGCTCAGGGAAGTTACCACCACACCCCCTCCCTTTAGCTCCCCCTTAGTGAGCACCAGCTATGTGCCAAATTCCGGAGTCGGCTTATCACTTTGTCCCTCTCTTCCCAATTTTAAGATTCAAATGGTTTCTTCAGGTATCGGATGCAGGTCTACTTATGAGTCGCACCCGCTTCTTGCGGATCAACTACCTGGTAACAGGATAAAGAAGGGTCTGTATCCTGGCGGCTGACGACCACCTGTTACCGCCAGTTACCTCCTGCCGTCTCCTCACTAGGGACGGTGTCACCTTGTTTTGGGGATAATGTGGGCATTGTCAATAGGGGGCCCTATTTAAGGTCATATTGAGGGGAACAGCTTCCTATTTGACAAGCCTATCTTCGGTGCAAAGTAAATAATTAATAGGAAGAAACGCGTTGGGTTTTCAGACAGATTTCCTTCAAGGATGTCTAAGGGGTCATTACTCCTCCGAAACCTCTTGAGAATTAAAAAGCAGTCTGGGGGCGCCTGGGTGGCGCAGTCGGTTAAGCGTCCGACTTCAGCCAGGTCACGATCTCGCGATCCGTGAGTTCGAGCCCCGCGTCAGGCTCTGGGCTGATGGCTCAGAGCCTGGAGCCTGTTTCCGATTCTGTGTCTCCCTCTCTCTCTGCCCCTCCCCCGTTCATGCTCTGTCTCTCTCTGTCCCAAAAATAAATAAACGTTGAAAAAAAAATTAAAAAAAAAAAAAAAGCAGTCTGGTAAGGGAGGCCTCGTCATGGGGTCCCATGGAGTTTGTGGCTCGTCTCACTGGGGCGTGAGAGTTGCGGGGGCCAGGCGCACTGCCTTGATACTTCAACCCGTAGTGTTAAGGAAAGTGGAGGCCAACTTGACCCAAATTAACTAAAATGCTCAAGACTCTTTGGCCGCCCAGGAGTCTAGGGGAAAGAGGCACACCATCGTCACGGTCGTCAATTCTGCTCCAACTTGCCTCACCCTACAAACTTTTCCAGGCTCAGGGCCAGGTCATCTCCCTCTGGCCACAGTTCCAGGATCCCGGACCCGAGCCGCTCTTGTCCAGCAGGGCAGGACAAGGCAGGGCAGGGCAGGGCCCCTCGGAGCTGCTACACAACCAGGAGGTCCCAATCCCATCCCTTTTTCTTAAGGCAAGGTGAAACAGCACTTTAGGAAGGTGGTTGACAACAATGAGGGTAAAGGGGTCATAAAATGGCTTCTTCTTCCTAAATACCTGCCCGATAGTTTTGCAAACAAGCAAACAAAACGGTCAGTTAGACTCGACTATCTTCTCGGTGTCCTAGTTAATGGGGTTAACATTAGATTGAAATCCCTTCAGAAGTTTCCAAACTACGCATCTTGAGTGGCACAAAAGGCCTTCTCTCCCTGCCTGAGGCCTCATGCTTGCACTCCTATTTTAAGATTTGTGGTATTTCTGCTGCATAAATACATAGCTTCAACAAGGCCGGTGTGATCGAGCTCATTCCGGGGTTGGGGGGTGGATCTGAACATACCAGTGGTCAAATGCCCATAAACATAAGATAACGAAAGCTGGCTGTTGTATGGGCTGTATTCTCTCTTCTTAAAATTTTTAAAAAAATGTTTATTTGCTTATTTTGAGAGAGAGAGATAGAGAGGAAGTGGAGGAGGGGCAGAGAAAGAGGGAGAGAGAATCTCAAGCAGGCTCCATGCTGTCAGCATAGAGCCTGATGCGGGGCTCAAACTCACAAACAGTAAGATCATGACCTGAGCTGAAACCAAGAGTCAGAGGCTTAATCGACTGAGCCACCCGGGCGCCCTGATATGGGCTGTATTCTCAACATTGGCTTTACAAAACAGTTCTGTTTGCAAAAGAAAGGAGGAAACCATGTATTAAGTTTCTTGGAGAAATTCAACTATCTGGTTGGGAAATCTGTGAGAACACTGTTTTCTCCCCGATTTGTTTCTTGTGGGTTCTTTCCCCTTCAGAATGCCACTGAGAGTGCATTAGGGAACCCAGGAAGGAGAAAGAGCTAGTCACCAAACCTTAACGTTTTTCTTTTCCTCTGCAATATGCCTTGTCAGCGTGAAAAAGCGATCCCAGTCTGCTCCCAACCTTTCCAGTCTGAGCCAGGCCCCGGGGCCCCAGTCTGCGGTGTTGGGATGCCACTACTCAACAGTCAGCTCTGTTGGGCTGCTTTTCAGGTACTCCCACCACCAGATCTGCAACTGTTCTTTTTTTAGAAATTTTTTAAAGTTTATTTACATTTTTTAGTAATCTCTACACCCAGCATGGGTCTCGAACCCACGACCCGATATCAAGAGTTACATGCTCCTCCTACCGAACCAGCCAGGTGCCCCTGCAACTCCTTTCCATCAATGTACTCACACATGCACTCTGCAGCAAAGCCGATACACCCAGCCTGATTTCCTTTCCTTTCTTTTTTGGGCAAATATCACTTTGCTGTAACTTAAGTGGGTTTTTTTTTTTGGGGGGGGTCACCTTTTTACGGCATGACCTACAAATTAGTCAAAAGTGCCTGAGGGAATGAAAGTATTTAAAATTAACACAATGACTCTATCCCCAAATAAGGGCCACCCAACCCCCAACCAACCAAATTCCACAAAACTCAACTCTTCAAAATAGTATTACCAACATGAAAAAAATTCTTAAAATGTTAGAAATCCTCAAGAGAATATGTGCTTACGTGTTTAATAGATTTGTAGAATTTGTGTAGTACCCAGAAGGCCTATTTTGACTGACATGTAGTTCTTCTCTAACCTTTTCGCCCTTCTTAGGTCAGTTAATATTCATTCAGTACTGGGTGGTTGTTTTTTTTCTTTTTGCTTGTTTCATACTTTAGGCAAATTTTCAAAGCCTGCAAACCGTTCCCCCATTCTCACCGTAACGTGACTGTCCCAGCAATGTTTTCAGGTTGATGCATCAAAATATTCCAGAAAATTAGAACGTAGAGCTCTCACTCTCCACATTGCCTTACCAAACACTTAAAAACAACAGCAAGAGGGCTGGGTTCTCGAACTTTGAAGCTGTCCCTCCACCATCAGTCTTAGCTTCACTAAACAGACACTGGTTACTCGTATAGCATGTTCTGAGCATACATTTCTCCCTCACCCCAATGTTTTTTTTTTAATGTTTATTTTTGAGAGAGAGAGAGAGAGAGAGAGAGAGAGAGACAGAGCACGAGCAGGGGAGGGGCACAGAGAGAGGGAGACACGGAATCTGAAGCAGGCTCCAGGCTCTGAGCTGTCAGCACAGAGCCCGACACGGGGCTCAAACCCACGGACTGTGAGATCATGACCTGAGCCGAAGTCGGATGCTAACCGACTGAGCCTCCCAGGCGCCCCCACCCCAAAGTTTATAAATTCACCCACTTCGCTAAGAGCTTATGCATGGCTTTAACTTAGTATAACCAATCCCTCTCATAACCTGCTCCTCTGTGCATTAATTTGAATACTTCCACAGTCAGCCTGAGCCCCAATATGTCTCCACACATGACTCTTCAAAGGATATCTGTGTTTTGGGTGGTGGGTTCGGCCCTGCAGCCGGCTCTGTGCTGACAGCTTGGAGCCTGGAACCTGCTTCGGATTCTGCGTCTCCTTCTCTCTCTGCCCCTCCCCCGCTCCCCCTTAAAAATTTTTTTTTAAGTAATAAATGAACACTAAAAAAATTTAAGAGAAAGGAATCATGTTCCCTCGGGTAATGGGAAACATCTGTAAGCTGGAGTTCACATACCCCATTTTTCACCCACAAAGACTCCTAAAGTCGATTTATTTGCCAAAGTTAAAAAAGAAAACCGAAAAGACCAACTTGAGAACCCCGGAACAGAAGTGTTACGAGTCCTAAAGCCGGTTTCAGAATGGCTGCCCTGCCATTCAGGTTTACTGACCTGCACTCTGGTTTCGGTCACATTCATGCAGCTTGCAAGTTCTCTTCTGCGGGGAGAAAACCACAAATGTTTAGTATTTGGAGCTGTGGATAAAGTGAAATGTACAGATATACTTTTTATGCTTGTTTTAAAACGTGTACCCTCCCCTCAAGAGCCCACCCCCCAAGTAAACTTTTCTGTAATTCCCAGTTCCAGGCTTGCTACGGTTTCCCCTCAAAATTTAAGGTAGCATTAACATCTTGGTAGTCACGATAAATAATTTTATTGCACTATTTAAAAAAAGAAAAATTCGGGGCTCCGGGGTGGCTCAGTTGGTTAGGCATCCGACTTTGGTTCAGGTCATGATCTCATGGTTTGTGGGTTCAAGCCCCGCATTGGACTCTGTGCTGACAGCTCAGAGCCTGGAACCTGCTTTGGATTCTGTGTCTCCCTCTCTCTCAGTTCCCTCCTCCACTCGCACTCTGTCTCTCTCTCAAAAATAAATAAACACTAAAAAATCTTTTAAATAAAAAATAAAAAATTAATGCAAACAAATATATGATCAACAAATTATCACAGTTTTATTTACTTATTTATTTATTTATTTATTATTTTTTAAGTAAGCTCTATGCCCAATGTGGGGTTTGAACTCACAACCCCGAGATCAAGAGTCACATGCTCTGCTGACTGAGACAGCCAGGTGCCCCTCCAACTTTTTTAAATTTATTTAAAAAATTTTTAAGTAGGCTCTATGTCCTAAGTGGGGTTCAAAGTCTTGACCCTGAGATCAAGAGTCACACGCTCTTCTGACTGAGCCAGCCAGGTGACCCCCTCCCTCAAAATTTTATTTATTTATAAAAAGTTTTTAATGTTTATTATGATTTGTTTTTTGAGAGAGAGACAGACAGACAGAGAGTGAGCAGGGGACGGGCAGAGAGAGAGAGGGAAACACCGAATCTGAAGCAGGCTCCAGGCTCTGAGCTGTCAGCACAGGGCCCGACGCCGGCCTCGAACTCACGAACCGCGAGATCACGACCTGAGCCGAAATCGGACGCTTAACCACCTAGCCAACCAGGCGCCCGCCCCAAAATTGTAAATGAAAGGATCCAGCCCTACAGCTAGCTGCAGGAGAGTACCTTATTCTCCTTAGCCTGATTCCAATAAAATTTTATTTACAAAAGGCTACCAACACAGACGATAAAAAAAAATGTATAAATTATACTACATCAAAATTAAAAACTTCTGTAGACCAAAGTACAAAATCAATAAAGTGAGGGGTACCTGGCTGGCTCAGTCAGTTAAGTGCCTGACTCTTGATTTAGCCTCAGGTTATGATCTCATGGTTTGTGGGGTTGAGTCCCACGTCAGGCTCTGTGTTGAGTGTGGATTGTGCTTAGGATTCTCTCCCTCCCTCTTCCCCCTCTCCAACTAGCACATATGCACTCAGGTGCGTGTGGGCTCTCTCTCTCTCTCTCAAAATAAATTTTCAAACTTCAAAAAAAAATCAGTAGAGTGACAAGGCAACCCTTCAAATGGAGAAAATATGTGCAAATCATATATCTGATAAGGAGTTAACATCCACAATATATTAAGGACTACAACTCAATAAATAAACAAGCAACCGGTTAAGAACTGGGCAAAGGCCTTGGATAGACATTTCTCCAAAGATGATATTAAAATGGCCATGAAAAGATGCTCAACATCACTAATTAGTCATTAAGGAAATGCAAACCAAAACCACACTGCTACCTCATACCGTTAGAATGGATACTATCAAAAAAAAAAAAAAAAAAAAAAAAAAAAAAAACCCAGAAAATAACAAGTGCTGGTGAGGATGTGGGGAAATTGGAACCCTTGTGCAGCCGCTAAGAAAAACAGTTCGGTTCAGGTCATAATCTCATGGTTTGTGGGTTCGAGTTTGTGGGTTTGAGCGCTGCTCAAAAATTTAAACATAGAAATTACCAAATGACCCGACAATTCCATTTCTGAGTATATACCTGAAAGAACTGAACACAGGGTCTTGGAAAGATATTTTGACACCTATGTGCCTAGCAGTGTAATTCCCAAGAGCCAAAAAGTGGAAGCAACCCGAGTGCTCATTAATAATAAATGGATAGGGGCGCCTGGGTGGCTCAGTCAGTTAAGCGTCCGACTTCGGCTCAGGTCATGTTCTCCCGGTTTGTGAGTTCAAGCTCTGCATCGGGCTCTGTGCTGATAGCTTGGAGCCTGGAGCCTGCTTCGGCTTCCGTGTCTCCCTCTCTCGATCAAGAGTCAGATTCTTAACCCACTGAGCCATCCAGCCACCCCTATAGGTAGAATCTAAAAAACAAAAGAGAGATAGACAACCAAAAAGACAGACTGTAATACAGAGAAGAAACTGACGGTTCCCAGAGGGGAATTGGGTCGGGGGACAGGTGAAATTGAGGGGATTAAGAAGTACAAACTTCTAGTTATAAAATAAATAAGTCATGAAAATGAACATACAATATAGGGAATATAGTCAATAATTTGTAATAATGTTCTATGGTGACGGATGGTGACCACACTTATCGTGGTGTGCACTGAGTAATGTATAAAGTCGTTGAATCATTATGTTGTACACCTGAAACCAATATAACACTGTATGTCAATTATACTTCAATAAAAAAGCCAAAAAGCTTACAAAAAATTAAAAGACTGTATGCTATGTAAAATAAACCGGTCACAAAACGACAAAATCACAGACAGGAAGTATAATGGTGGTTACCAGGGGATCGTGGGGTGTATTATTGTGTAATGGTAATAGTTTCAGGTTTGCAATATGAGAAATTTCTGAAAATGAACGGTGGTGATGGTAACATAAGAATAATGTACGTAATGCCACTGAACTGCACAATGAAAAATGGTAAAGACATTTTACGAGTATTTGACCAAAATAAAGAAATCAGGAAAAAAAATGAATAAATTAGTCTTATGGAGAATAAAAATGGGCGCAGGGCTTGAATATGCCCATGAAAAGATCCTCAACATCACTAATCAATACGGAAATACAAATCAAAACCACAATGAAATACCACTTCACAGCCATCGAGACGGCTAATATTAAAAACAGGGGCGCCCAGGGGCGCCTGGGTGGCGCAGTCGGTTAAGCGTCCGACTTCAGCCAGGTCACGATCTCGCGGTCCGTGAGTTCGAGCCCCGCGTCAGGCTCTGGGCTGATGGCTTGGAGCCTAGAGCCTGCTTCCGATTCTGTGTCTCCCTCTCTCTCTGCCCCTCCCCTGTTCATGCTCTGCCTCTCTCTGTCCCAAAAATAAATAAAAAACGTTGAAAAAAAATTAAAAACAAACAAACAAACAAACAAAAAAAAAACAGGGGCGCCTGGCTGGCTCAGCCAGTGGAGCGTGTGACTCTTGATCTCGGGCTTGTGAGTTCAAGCCCCACCTGGGGTGTAGAGATTACCTAAAAATAAAATGTTTTAAATAAATAAACAAGTGTTAACAAGAATGTGAAGAAATTGGAATCCTTGTGCACTTGCAGCCACTGCGGGACACAGCACAGTAGCTGCTTGAAAAATTAAAAACAGGCTTACCAAACGATCTAGCAATTCTGGATATCTACCCCAAATGATTGAAAACAGTGACTCCAACTGCTATTTGCACGCCCATGTTCACAACAGCGCTATTCACAATAGCCAAAAGGTAGAAGCCACTCAAGTGCCCACTAATAAATGAATAGATCAATGAAATTCCCACTCAACCCTAAAAAAGGAAGGGAATTCTGAGACACGCTACATCGTGGATGAACCCCGATAACATTATAGTAAGTGAAATACTTCAGGCATAAAAAGAAAAATACTGTGTAATCCCACTTATATGAGGCACCAACAGTAGTCAAATTCATCAGAACACAAAGTAGAAAGGTGATCGCCAGGGGCTGGGGGAGATGGGGGAACAGAGAGTGGTTCAGCGTGCATCCTTTTAGTTTTGCAAGGTGGAAAGAGTTCTGGAGATTCGTTGTAAAAAAAAAATATGAATGCACTTTAGTGAACTATACACTGAAAAAAATGGTTAAGATCGTATATTTTATCTTTACACATATTTTACCACAGTTTTTTTTAATTTATTTTTTTTTTAGTAATCTCTACACCGATAAATGGCTCAAACTTAGGACCCTGAGGTCAAAAGCTGCATGCTCCTCTGAGCCAGCCACGACTCCCTATTTTACCAGCTTTTTAATAAGTCTTTTTTTTTTTAATTTTTTTTTTTTTTTTTGAGAGAGAGAGAGAGACAGAAAGAGCGCGCGCACGAGAGCACTTCAGCGCAGAGCCCGATGTGGGCTCGACTGGGCTCGAACTGACGAACCGGGAGATCAGGACCTGAGCCCAAATCAAGAGTTGGACGCTTAACCGCTTAAACGACTGAGCCACCCAGGCTCCCCTTAAGTCTTTTTTTCTTGAAGTTTGTGCTTGTTTGTGTAATCTCTATGCCTAGGTGGGGCTCGAACCCCGAACTCACGACTCCCAGAGATCAAGAATCCCACGCTCTCCCAACTGAGCCAGCCCGGCGTCCCCACCACAATTTTAAAAAAAAACAAAAAGACGACCCACCACAGATTTCCACAGACTTGTTTCATATAATTACTGTATACAAATATTTCCCTTGATGCACAGAAGGCATTCTCCCCAACCCTAGTCCTTTTTGGTTTAGGAGGGGGAGAAGGAGGTCGGGGGGGGGCGGGTGAGGGTGAAGGGGCAGGGGGGCCGGGAGGGGGTAGGGAAACGATGCCTGGCCGTGAGGCGAAGGGCACTTGCCGGAGCAAGCCACTTACCTTGTGGCCACGTCAGGGTATTGAGTGCGCTGGAAAACGCTTTCCAGCTCCTGCACCTGAAATGCCGTGAACTTAGAGCGCGGGGCTCTGCCGCGGGGCTGACGAGCCCCAGCGGCTGCCACTTGGGGTGGCCCTTCAGCGTGCTGCTGCCCCAGCGCCTGGACGACACCGCTGGCCTCGTGGTTCCCTTCGCCGTCAGGGTTCGCCACGCCTTCACGGTTGATGTCGCCTCCAGAGTTGGCATAGCTGACACCGCCCTGGGGGTTATTGTCGCCCAAGGGGACTAGACTGCCGTCATCAATGTGGCCGTCTTCTTTGGCGTCTGGGGCCGCGTCCTGCACAGGTTCAGATGTGATTTCCACTTCTTGCATCCCCAGCCAGTAGTAGTCGGGGTCACAGTATGCACCCAGGTCACAGTAGTCGCCGCTGGGCAGAGGCTCCATGGCTGTGGTGGGGTGGACGGCCACCGCCTCCGCCCACCCTGTGGTGATCGAGACCAGAGCTGGCCTCTTTTGGCGCCTCGTACCAGTTCAAAGGTTTGGCGCAAGTTCGACGCCTACGTGATCCCCTTTAGACGATTGCTATTGGCTCTCCCTTTCCGCCAACTGAGGTGGGTGGGACTTGCTTCGACACGCAAGTGTCTGGGGCGTGGCCAAAAAATAAGGGCTGTGTGGGGCAAGGCGGGAGCTTGGGTTTGTGCACAATCGGGTCTCTAATTGAAAGTTCGGTTTACCACGCCCCTCTTGAGCAGAGTGGTCTGAGGACGGGATGGTACCGGATTATGCGACCTGATTCGGGGGGCAAATCAGGGACGGGGAGAGATGGGGGTTCGAGACTTCTCACTACCTACAGGAGCCCTTTGGGAAACGTTTTGAGAAAGTCTCATGGTCCAGCCCTCTATATTTGGCAACCTGCACACACGCCAGGCTAATAAGTAAAGTGAAATGAACCGAGTTTCTGCAAGGACACAGAAAGCAGAGCCCACCATGTTTCCCGGGTGCCGAGAGTCGGATGTTGGGGCCGGATTTGTAGAACATTCTAGGTAAGATGCACTCTACAGGAAATCCAATGTGCCCGATGAGAAAGTTCAAGTACTCCGGATTTTTAGTAATGACGCCCCATCGGAGTGCAAGTGTAGACCCCCCAGCCCAGGGCTTAGTGCACCGAGAACTCTTGCATTTTGCTGGCTTAGGAGGCCACAGCGAAGTATGCATCCTCGGTGGTCCTCCACTCGCGCATCTGAGGTAGCATGTCCCCTATACAAGCTCAGCCGTCCCCTGTGCTGGGCTCCTGGCATGAACTCAGGTCAGTTTCCACCTTTCCCCCTGCTGCTCCCTCTCCCCCCGTGCTGCCTTTTTTTCCCTAAAAATATCATCCTGATCTCTTGCTTTGGAAAAAATAAAATTGTATTTATTGTCAAAAGAGATCCAGGCCAGTGTAAGGGAGGAAGATTTTTTCCTTCCGTCCTTCAAGGTCTTCTAGCTGGTTTAGGAATTAAATTGACATGAGACAGTTTGACAGGAGAAAAAACAGTTTTATTGCGTGAACACAGTGGCCAAATAATGACAGTGACACCTCAAGAAATAACCAAGGCATCTCTGAGGAATTGGCAGGGCAAAGAAAACTTGTGTTTGGGAGCTTCGATTCAGAAGGAATTCTAAACAGAATTTGGGCTGGGGTAGTAAATTAGGAAAGGGTGACAAGGGGTGTTAAGGGGTGTTTACACAGCCTTCTCTGCTCTATGGAGGATGTCTCTTTACTTCCTGGTACAGGGAGGGTAACTTTCACGATTTATTTCTTACTTTTCTGGAGACAAAGGGGGCTCGGGGTGTTCTTTTTGTATTGGCTGTTTCTTGTATTATTATTATTATTATTTTTAACATTTATTTATTTTTGAGACAGAGAGAGAGAGAGAGAGAGAGAGAGCGAGCATGAACGGGGAGAGTCAGAGAGAGAGAGAGACACAGAATCCGAAACAGGCTCCAGGCTCTGAGCTGTCAGCACAGAGCCCAACGTGGGGCTCGAACTCACGGACTGCGAGATCATGACGTGAGCCAAAGTCGGGACGCTTAACCGACTGAGCGACCCAGGTGCCCCTGTATTGGCTGTTTATTAAGTAATTTTTATTTAAAATAATCAATATGCCAGGGTGCCTGGGTGGCTCAGTCAGTTAAACATCTGACCCTTGAATTCAGTTCTGGTCACGATCTCATGGTTTGTGAGATCAAGCTTGGCATCAGGCTCTGCACTGAGAGCTCAGAGCCTGCTTGGGATTCTCTCTCTCTCTCTCTCTCTCTCTCTCTCTCTCTCTCTAATTTTTTAATGTTTATGTATTTTTGAGAGAGACAGAGCGCAAGTGGGGGAGGAGCAGAGAGAGAAGGAGACAGAATCCGAAGCAGGCTTCAGGCTCCGAGCTGTCAGCACAGAGCCCGGCATGGGCTCAAATCCACGAACCTAGAGATCATGACCTGAGCCGAAGTCGGATGCTTAACTGACTGAGTCACCCAGGCGCCCCTCTCTTTCTCTTGCTCGCTCTCTGCCCTCCCCCGCTAGTGCTCTCTCACTCTCTCAAAATAAATAAACATTGAAAAATAAATAAAAATGAAATGAAATCATCAATATTCCAAAGTGGCACATTTTGGAGTCGTCTGCCCTTGACCCCTATACCAGATTGAGGGCTCTATGGTTCTCTCTTCAAGATGTGTTTCGTAATGGGGTGCCTCCGTGGCTCAGTTGGTTAAGCATCCGACTCTTGATTTCAGCTCAGGTCATGATCTCACGCTTTGTGGGCTGGAACCCTGCATCGGGCTCTGTGCTTTCAGGGTGGAGCCTGCTTGGGATTCTCTCCCTCTCTTTGGGTTCCTCCCCGACTCACGCTGCTTTGGTCTCTCTCAAAATAAATAAACTTAAAAAAAAAAAAAAACCATGTGTTTTGTAGATGCTTTGGGAGGTGTTAATATCCTGAACATTACATGCAGTTTCTAATAATGAGCCCTATGCTTCGTATTACACATGATTCATCTTCTTTTTACTATGGCAACCATCAGTGTTTTCAGCATCATCCTGTGAAAGAAATTAAACAATTGGTGGGGGCCTTTGTAAGATGTATGCACCTTGCCTACCGTGCCTAATGGATAAGCGTCGCTGCAGGATGGCTCAGAGATCAGCTGAAACATGGTGACTGACCAAGTCACGTTTAGAAAAGATGTCAAGGAGGTGGGGGGGGGGGCGCCTGAGTGGCTCCGTCAGTTGAGCGTCTGACTCTTGATTTCGGCTCAGTTTGTGAGTTTGAGCCTTGAGTCAGGCTCCATGCTTCAGCATGGAGCCTGCTTGGAATTCCTTCTCTCCCCCAAAAATAAAATGAGCATTTAAAAAAAATTTTTTTTTAAAAAAAGAAGAAAAGATGTCAAGGGATGGCGATCCCACGGCCTCTCTCTGACTTTAACCAAGATGTTTCGTCCTCAGGCTGACTCTTCCGGATTATGCAGGCCTCTCCCTCCCTTGGCTAGGATCCCGATGATGAATTTTCAGTCTTGGATCCGTTGTTATGTGGGAGAAATACAAGAGTTTTCCTCACGGCTTGCATTAGACTATCTAGAGCAGCTGTGACGTCTCAGACGTGTTCTCGCACATCTCTGTCCGCAGTGTACTCCCCCGTCATCTAACCCACAGTCCCTCGTGTACCCCAGGGGAGCGTTGCCCGAACTCCATACCACCCACGCTAGTATTTGTTTACAATTTTTAAGCTAAATTTAATCTACTTTTTATTTTAAACTTCAGGTGGGGCCCTATTCTTTTTTTTTTTTTATTTTTAATGTTTCTTTATTTTTGAGAGAGAGAAAGGGACAGAGTGCAAGCAGGGGAGAGGCAGAAAGAGAGGGAGACAGAAAATCCAAAGCAGGCTCCAAGCTGTCAGCACAGAGCCCAATGTGGGGCTCGAACCCGTGAATCGTGAGATCATGACCTGAGCCGAAGCCAGGCACTCAACCGACTGAGCCACTCAGGCGCCCCAAGGGGAGCCCTATTGTAAGCCAAAGTAGCCAGGAATCATGATCTGGTGTGACAGGTTTATGAGAGCAAATCTGGAGCCAGACTACAGAGGTCTAAATCCTGGCTTCGCTTGCCACGAGCTATCTGGCTAATCTGGCGAGCTGCGTATTCTTACTTTGCCTTGGTTTCATCATCTTTAAAATAGGAATGACAGGGGTACCTGGGTGGCTCAGTCGGTTAAGTGTCCGACTTCGGCTCAGGTCATGATCTCGCGGTTCCGGAGTTCGACCCCACATCGAGCTCTCTGCTGTCAGCGTGGAGCCTGCTTCGGATCTTCTGTCTCCCTCTCTCTGCCTCTCCCCTACCTGCATGTGCTCTCTCTCAAAAATAAATAAGTATTAAAAGAAGAAGAAGAAGAATGTAATAACAGTGACCATGCATTAAATGCCTATTCTAGGCCAAACAGAAGGACAAGCACTATAGAAGTTATAGTCACCGGCACAGCAGGGTCGAATTCATATTTTCAGCATCAGATCGTCCTGGCTTCCTCGTGTAGAATGGTCATGGGAGAGAAAAGGTGAAAGCAGGGAGCCAGGAGGCTAATGCAACATTCTGCTTTAAGATAACAGTGGTTAAGGTTAAGGCTTTAAGATAACAGTGGTTAGGGTTAAGGCATGCGGGAAAAGTGAAAGGTTTGGGGATGTGTGTTTCAGGTGGAGTTAAGAGGATTTGCTGATGGATTGGAGGCTTGGAGCGGAAGAAAGAGGTTACATGCATTCACTCATTGGACCCTCACGAAAACCCAGTGAGGTAGGCACTGTCATTCTCCACGTTTTTCAGGTGAGGAAGCTGAGAGACGGGCTCATGCATTGGCCCGGGATTCACAGCAAGCCAGGCTTTGGACCTGCACTCTTAACTGTCTCTTCCCAGTTATTAGTGGCCTTTTTTTTTTTTTTTAATTTTTTTAATGTTTATTTATTTTTGACAGAGAGAGAGAGACAGAGCATGAGCAGGAGAGGGGCAGAGAGAGAGGGAGACACAGAATCCGAAGCAGGCTCCAGGCTCTGAACTGTTGGCACAGAGCCCGACGCGGGGCTCGAACTCACGGACCGTGAGATCATGACCTGAGCCAAAGTCGGATGCTCAACTGACTGAGCCACCCAGGCACCCCGTTAGTGGCCTTTTCCTGCTCCCCACGATGCACCTCTTTTCCTATTGCCTTTTCTTCTTATGCTCTTTAAGTACTTTTTCCCTCCTTTCTCCCTTGACTGAGGATAAAACCCAGGGATCTCACTGAGACCAGTGAGGGTCAAATAGTTAAAGACGCAAGTGAGCGAGTCCCGTCCTGTGGATTCCCTAGATGCAGCGAAGGGCTTGAGGGCCTTTCCATGTTCTGAATCACCACGAAGACCACGTTGGTGGGCCACAGACTCAGTGGGTCTATCTCTGGTTAATGTGCCAAAAACACAAAACGAAACAAAACAACCGATATTTGTAAATGCAGACAGAAAGCTTAAGGGTTTTTTCCATTTTATTGAATTTTTTTTAAATTTACATCCAGATTAGCATCTAGTGCAACAATGATTTCCGGAGTAGATTCCTTAGTGCCCCTGACCCATTTAGCCCATCCCCCTTCCCACACCCCCTCCAGCAACCCTCAGTTTGTTCTCCATATTTATGAGTCTCTTCTGTTTTGTCCCCCTCCCTGTTTTTATATTATTTTTGTTTCCCTTCCCTTGTGTTCATCTGTTTTGTCTCTTAAAATCCTCATATGAGTGAAGTCATATGATATTTGTCTTTCTCTGACTAATTTCGGAAAGCTTAAGTTTTTAAGTATTATTGTTATTTTTCCTTTTAGAGAGAGAGTGCACGTGGGGGAGAGGGGCAGAGGGAGAGAGAGAGAGAGAGAGAGAGAGAGAGAGAGAGAGAGAATCCCAAGCAGGCTCCATGTGGAGCCCGACATGGGACTCGATCCCACGACCTGGGATCATGACCTGAGCCAAAATCAAGAGTCAGATGCTCAACCCACTGGGCCATCCAGGCGCCCCCACATACAGAAAGTGTAAAAGAAAATATAGCATCACTTCAGAGCACACTCACACGATTTTCAGAAAAAGAAAGGATTTGTGGGGCGCCTGACTGGCTCAGTTCGAGGAGCGTGCAGCTCTTGATCTTGGGGTCATGAGTTTCAGCCCCACGTTGGCTGTAGAGATTATTTAAAGAAATAAAAACAAAAAAAAAAAAAAGAAAAAGAAAGGATTAGTGAGCTGTTAACCCTCAGAAAGGGTTTCCATATCCTTCCTCATGACAGACTCTAGGGTTTTTCTTTGTGATTTGGCCTATTGGGGGCAGGAGCGGGGGAGGCTACATCATTCGGCGTGTGTATCGTGCCAAAGGGGGACCCAAGTCGAGTGAGCGGCATATTCATAGATATCCTGAATCTTGAGTGTTCGCAGTAGATGTGCCCTTACCCGAACTCTCCTGGTACTGCCCCCTCCACTCTTTTTTTCACTAGCTCCAATCTTGTGTTCGAAGCCCTGTTTGCCTGTCCTAAGAGCGCTCTGCTGTACCATGAGTATGGGTCTCTCCTGCCTAGGCAAAGATACTCAATCTCGGACTAGAAGATTCTGCCCCGTGTTTATTTTCACCCGAAGATTCTTCTGACTTATTCAAAAGCCTCCAACATTGTGTAAAATCAAAGATAGGCTTTCTGAAAATCAGCAGGCCTGGGCCAGGCAGCAGCTAGCTGTGAGTGAGTATTGGAGAAGTCCCTTATTTTTCCTTATGTTTCTGGACGTTGACCCACGTCTGCAAGAGGAGATATTTAGATTTTGGACATTCAGATATTAAGACTCGTTCTTAGGAATCTGCCAGGCAGGCTTGCGATTCCACAATTCTATCAATCTATGCTCAAAAGAAGCTTATCAGGCTTCTATGAGTTTGCTCCCTTAAAAGAAAAAAAACAATAGCCTTTTCTATAATCTTATTAACGCTGTTCCCCATAGATCATTAAAATGTCTTTTGTCCAGAGGTGGCCGGGTGGCTCAGTCGGTTGAGTGTCTGACTTGATTTTGGCTCAGGTCATGACCCCGGGGTTGCGAGATAGAGCCCTGCATGGAGGTCCACGCTGAGTGTGGAGCCTGCTTAAGTCTCTCTCTCTCTCTCTCTCTCTCTCTCTCTCTCTCTCTCTCTTCCTCTGCCCCTCTCCCCTGCTTGTGCTCTCTCTCTCTCTCTCAAATAAAAAAAAAAAAAGAGGGGTACCTGGGTGGCTCAGTCAGTTTAGCGTCCGACTTTGACTCAGGCCATGATCTCATGGTCTGTGAGTTCAAGCCCCACATCGGGCTCACTGCTGTCAGTGCAGAGCCCTCTTTGAATCCTCTGTCCCTCTCTCTCTTTCTGCCCCTACCCTGCTCACACGCGCTCTCTCTCTTATAAATAAATTTTGAAAAACATTAAAATTAATTAATTAATTGTTGTTTTTAAAAAGCCCTGGGTGGGCGGGGCGCCTGGGTGGCGCAGCCGGTTGAGCGTCCGACTTCAGCCAGGTCACGATCTCGTGGTCCGTGAGTTCGAGCCCCGCGTCGGGCTCTGGGCTGATGGCTCGGAGCCTGGAGCCTGTTTCCGATTCTGTGTCTCCCTCTCTCTCTGCCCCTCCCCCGTTCATGCTCTGTCTCTCTCTGTCCCAAATAAATAAATAAACGTTGAAAAAAAATTAAAAAAATAAAAATAAAAATAAAAAGCCCTGGGTGGCTCAGTCCATTAAGCATCAGACTCTATGGTTCGTGATGAGTTCCAGCCCCGCATCAGGCTCTGCACTGACAGCGTGGAGCCTACTTGGCACTTTCTGTCTCCCTCTCTCTCTCTGTCCCTCCCCAGGTCGTGCTTGCTCTCTCTCTCAAAACAAACCAACCTTTTAAATAATAAAAAAAATATGAAATATACATTAAAAAAAAGAGTTTAAAATGCCTTTCTTCCAGAGTGATAAATCTTTGAACATGCTCTGGGCCCAAATGTTCATTTCACATACATTTCTTTAACATTTGTGCATACTATGTACAAGACATTACTGCAAATACTTTCCAAATAGTAACGGATTTTTCTTCACTACAACACTCACTGGGAAGGACCCCATGCAGTGTAAGTGTTTTTGGAGGCACTAGGCACTGGGCAGGAATCTGCAGTTGTACTCTGACATGAATTCATTACTAAGACTCTGGGGCACTTAAGCCTTCTCAAGTGGCACAGTGCGTGTCTTGCAGAGTGCATATGACCACCCGGAGAGCCAGACCAACCTAGCCCCGTGATTCTACCTACTCCCAGAGCTCTAGGTAGCATGGAGGGCTTTGACTTCAGCATCATTACAAATACAAATTCGAGCCATCCGGGCGCCCCAAAAGCCATTCCTTTTACGATATATCTTATTAGTGCACACAATTCTTTTTTTTTTAATGTTTATTTATTCGTTTGGGGAAAGAGAGAGAGGAAGCGCTCATGAGTGGGGCAGCGGCAGAGAGAGAGGGAGGGAGAGAATCCAAAGCAGGCTCCTCGCTGTCAGCCCAGAGCCCGACTTGGGGCTCGAACCCACGAACCACAGGATCATGACCTGAGCCGATATCAAGAGCTTGATGCTTAACCAACCGAGCCCTCCAGGCGCCTCAGTACACACACTTCCAATGGCAAATATATTCTTCGCCACTCAAATACTGTGCAAAATTTATATTTGTAAATATTTTACATAATTTTGTATTTTACATAATTTTGATTTTACATAATTATGTATTTTACATAATTTTGCCACACCTGGACATTTGTGCACCAGCAGGGTCCCATCTGCCACAACTGGTGGTGAGAAAGCCAATAGTCAACGTCTTACGTGTTAGTCCGAAGGCTTTGAACCTGAAGCCGACACACCATCACTGAGGCCAGATACTCCAAGAGGACCCTACTCGGCTGCTAGTTATACCTCCACCAGATCATAGATCCCCGGGGACCCCAGCACAGTCTGTAGAGAAGCACAGCTACATCGACAGCACTGAGGACAAGGAGCCTTCACCCAGACACAGCAGTGATGAAACTGGTCGTTTAGGAGTCAGGGAGGACCAGGAAGGACGGCACGGTCAGTGCCTGGATGGTGACAGGTGCTTCAGCAAACTCTACGAAACGAACTTTCTCTGGGACAGCAGGATGGACTGAGCTGTATCTGCTGCTCTTAGTTTGGGGCCCTGGGCCTCCTCCTGCCCTTGAAGCTGGGCATTCAATGTCACGATCTCTCTCTTTGCTTTTCCTCCTCTCCAGATGCGAACCCTCCTGTGATCCTGGCAATTGCATCAGAAGATGAGGAGGAAATACACTGTGAACCTAAGGAAAGAGCAGCAGCGCCGGCAAAAGGCCACGGCCGTGCAGGAGCTCCTGGCCCCATGGACAAAGAGGACCCGGAGGGTGCTGGGCTGAAGCTCAGGCAGCTTGGGGACGGGCAGCAGCCCCACTCCCACGCCACTTTGAGCCCGTTGCGGCTGCAGGAGCAGGAGGGCGTTTTACAATGAATTCCCCACTTGCACATGTTGCCACAGTAACCGGCATGCACAGGCAGCATCTGCTTTCCGGGGAGCACTGGTTGGATCCACCCTCATTCTCTCTCAGGGAGCCTCATTTTCTCCCTTCCTGAGCCAAAGGCTGGGGGGGGGGGGCAAGGCCACTAGGGCTCTCCTGACCTCAGGCACCAGGGTGGAGGCAATGCTTCCTGGGCACCAAGGTAAATATTTTCATGCAGCATTAAAATGAATCAAGCAGTGTGGGTGGTACCTGGGTGGCTCAGTCAGTTGAGCATCCAATTCTCGCTTTTGGCTCAGGTTATGATCCCAGGGCTGTGCGATCAAGCCCCACGTGGGACTCTGCAGTGACCGTGGAGCCTGCTCAAGATTTTCTCTCTCTCTCTCTCTCTCTCTCTCTCTCTCTCTCTCTCTCTCTTTCTCTCTCCCTCTGCCCCTCTCTCCCACTCACGCTATCTTTCTCTCTTTAAAAAAATAAAATAAAATGAATCAAGCAGGGAAATGTTAGCACGATGCTAGCTAGGTTTTTGTAAACAGTCTTTGAGTGAAATCAGGGTGAGGAGAGTAAGGGGTGGCCAGCTGTGTAAGCGAAGGGTCAGATTCTGCCTTTCTTTAAAATTGCGACACTTTGTTCATAGTAATAATTATTTTTTTTTAATTGTGCACCAGGTATCATTTATCAGGAATCTGGAGTTTTTGATGCCCTTTAAATTTAGTGTGGAGGAAAAAAACATCCCTAAAGCAAGGCCTCAATCTGAATATTACAGAACAATGTACTGGGGGAGAGGTGTTGTGGAATAGGTATGTATGTATGTAAGTAAACTCTACTCCCAACTTGGGGCTTAAGCTCATGAATCCTGGATCAAGAGTCACATGCTTGGGGCGCCTGGGTGGCTCAGTCAGTTAGGCGTCCGACTTCAGCTCGGGTCATGATCTCACGGTTCGTGGGTTTGAGCCCCGCATAGGTCTCTGTGCTGACAGCTCAGAGCCTGGAGCCTGCTTCGAATTCTGTGTCTCCCTCTATCTCTGTTCCTCCCCCACTCATGCTCTGTCTCTCTTGCTCCTTCAAAAATAAATAAAAACATTGATAAGAAAATTAAAAAAAAAAAGAGTCGCATGCTTTACTGACTGAGCCAACCAGGCACCCCTGGATAGGCGTGTGTGTGTGTATGTGGGTAGGTAGGTATGTAGTTTTAACAAGGATTTTAATTCTTTTTTTAAAATTTCGTTTTAAGTTTATTTATTTATTTTGGGAGAGAGAGTGAGCAAGCATGGGGGGAGGGGCAGAGAGAGAATCCCAAGCAGGTTCCGCAGGCTTAACTGACTGAGCCACCCAGGGCCCCTGGAGTAGGTATTTAAAAAGCATGCATGAACTGAATGTGATGTATTTCATTTCCTCTACAACTCCTCATACTGAATGTGATTCGCTCACCTCAGAAGGGAGCTTCCAAGAAGCATATGCATGTGACTAAAGCCAGCACCCAGGCTAATATATGTGAAAAAAAGTATGTGGTGAGAAATAATTAGCCATGTTTGGAAAGTAGGTTTTTTGTTTGCTTTTGAAAAGGAGTTTATTTTTCAGTAATCTCTACACCCAGTGTGGGGCTCAAACCCACAAACCTGAGATCAAGAGTCGCATGCCTCATGGGCTGACCCAGCCAGGCGCCCCTGGAAAGTAAGTTTCGAACCTTGGGTCTTTGTGAGTGGAAAATAGGATATATAATCCCCGGTTTATCGGACTTTCCCATTACCAGAAGGAATATGATTTCTTTAAAGTAAAAAAAATAATAATGAGGGTCACCTGGCTGGCTCAGTTGGAAGGGCATGCAACCTACATTTATTATATTTATATCTACTTTAATGTTTATTTACTTTAGTATTTATATTTATATGTAATATTTAATGTGTAAATTTAATTTAATTTACTTATGTTTATTATCGATAAGGATAATATATTAATGAATAAGGATAATATCAATGGTATATAAATATTATATATAAATACATATTTTCTCCTTTTTTTTTTTTTTTTTTAGTAGGCTTCACACCCAGCGTGCAGCCCAATGCGGGACTTGAACTCACGACCCTGAGATCAAGACCTGAGCTGAGATCAAGAGTCAGACGCTTAACCGACTGAGCCACCCAGGTGCCTCCAAACCATGTATTTGCATGTGCATATGCATGTATACATAAATTAGGGTGGACTTCTGTGCGGAGACCCTCTATAAGATGGGGGAGAGAAACGTCCCTGCCATAGAATTGGTGAGAGCACATATGTAAGTACCTGGCACAATGTCTGGCCACAGAAGAAGCCCTCAGAAATGCCCACTACTATTATTTCATAACACGTCCTATTACCACAGCATAACCCGCGGTGTAGGTGGCATGATGGAAAAAGGCATGATTAGAAATGACACATTCTCTGGGCGCCTGGGGGGCTCAGTTCGTTGAGCATCTGACTCCCGATTTCGGCCCAGGTCATGATCTCACTGTCAGGAGATTGGGCTCCGTGCTGTAAGACCCCATTGGGGATTCTCTCTCCCTCTCCCTCTCCCTCCGCTTCTCCCCTGCACGTGCATATGCGCACGCACACTCGCGTACTCTCTCTCTCAAAATAAGTAAACGTTAAAAAATTAAAAATTCTAGAAAAGAAATTACATTCTCATTCTTTTAGAGACACTGAAATATCTACGAATGCAACGATGTGGTGTCTCTATTTGCATCCAAATAATTATGTTCAACTGGTTAGGGTATTGATGAGACAAGGCAGGCTGTGAATAATTGTTGAGACTGAGATTAGTCCATAAGGTATGTCTTGTGATTCTCTCTGCTTTTGTGTACGCTTGACATTTCACATAATAAAAAACATGTTTTTATGGTTTTTTTTTAAAGTTTTATTTACTTAAGTAATCTTTGCGCCCAATGTGGGGCTTGAACTCGTGACCCCAAGATCAAAAGTCACATGCTCTAGGGGCGCCTAGGTGGCTCAGTCAGTTGAGTGCCCGACTTCAGCTCAGGTCATGATCTCACAGCTTGTGAGTTTGAGCCCTGCATCGGGATCTGTGCCGACAGCTCAGAGCCTGGAACCTGCTTCGGATTCTGTGCCTCCCTCTCTCTCTGCCCCTCCCCCACTCACGCTGTGTCTCTCTCCTTCAAAAATAAATAAACATTAAGAAATTTATTTATTTATTTTTTTAATTTTTTTCAACGTTTTTTATTTATTTTTGGGACAGAGAGAAACAGAGCATGAACGGGGGAGGGGCAGAGAGAGAGGGAGACACAGCATCGGAAACAGGCTCCAGGCTCCGAGCCATCAGCCCAGAGCCTGACGCGGGGCTCGAACTCACGGACCGCGAGATCGTGACCTGGCTGAAGTCGGACGCTCAACCGACTGCACCACCCAGGCGCCCCAGAAATTTTTTTTTTAAAGTCACATGCTCTTCCAACTGAACCAGCCAGGCGCCCCTAAAAAATATGCTTTTAAATGATCAGGGTTATAAACTCAAATGCTGACAGACGCAGGTGACAGGAGACCAGCAAGGAGAGTGGAGACTGGTGAACTGAGAAAGAATAGATCTTTTTCAAAGGGGATGGCCAGTACTCAGCTCCAGCTGAGTGTACTGGGGGGAATGTTGGGCCAAGACTACCAGATTTTCCAGTTTGTTATTTTTTTCAAGACTGGCCCCAAATCCAAATGTTTATATGAAACCTTCCATTCTTTAAATGTTGGCAACTAACTGGGGCGTCTGGGTGGCTCAGTCAGTTGGGCGTCTGACTTTAGCTGGGGTCATGATCTTGCGGTTCGTGAGTTCGAGCCCCGAGTCGGTCGGGCTCTATGCTGACAGCTCAGAGCCCAGAGCCTGCTTTGGAGTCTGCGTCTCCCTCTCTTTTTGCCCCTCCCCACTCACACTCTGTCTCTCAAAAATGAATAAATGTTAAAATTTTTTTTTTCAATGTTGGCAACTAACTGAAATATGTATCAAGAAGTGTGCTGGCCATCTAAAAAAGGCCTGCAGAATAGATTAGATTCAGGCTGCAGCTGCCAATGTGCAACCTTTGCCTGAGAAGCTGACATTCAACAATTTTCATTCTCTGGGGCAGAAGAATGTAATCGAAAGCACCCCTAAAGCTAACAATCCCAGGATGCCATTGTTCTACCTTCTTCTGTTTACAAGTCCTGCTCCCACACATGCTTTGTTTTCTCCTTCTCTGTCCGTGACTGTGCGTTTCTCTCACTTGGTCCTTCACTCTGCTTACCTAGTTCTGATCTCAAATTTCTGACCACCGAGGACCAAGACATCTGAGTGTCCAGGGCAGGAGGCCCTACGGTAATAAATCAGACCCCACTTGACCTGATCATACTCGCAGGAACATTTTGTAGCTGTTCCTAATGATAAGTGGGCGTCTTTGGGAGAGTCTCAGGAAATACTGGGCCTCAGAGACAAGGCAACAGGCTGGGAAGTTCAGAGTACCCTGGAGAAGAAAAATGGGATTTCATGAAACTTATATGTCTTGTGGTCAAAAACAATCTCCCGAGGTTCAGCAGTTCCTTCAATCTCCTGTGTTTCTTTTTCTTCTATTAAATGAAGTAAAATTTAAATTTAAGATTTTTCATCTTGTTTACCACATATGTAGTATGATTCCAGTCTTATTAGGTTCACTCTGCATACACACATCCATTCACCCTTTCTTCTTCATCCTTGTGTGTGTAGGGGTGTCTGTAAGAATATCAAGCAATATTGAATATCACCAATACCAACTCTGATTATTTCTTCTTCATGAAATGTGAGTAGATTTGTTCTTTCGGCTTTGGACTTCTATGAATTCCTTGAATTTTCATAATGCCAATCATGCCTTATGACTAAAATAAAATATTATATAAAAGAGCAAAAGAACAGAAATTCAAAACATTTTAACGTTTATTTATTTTTTGGGGGACAGAGAGAGACAGAGCATGAACGGGGGGAGGGGCAGAGAGAGAGGGAGACACAGAATGGGAAACAGGCTCCAGGCTCCGAGCCATCAGCCCAGAGCCTGACGCGGGGCTCGAACTCACGGACCGCGAGATCGCGTCCTGGCTGAAGTCGGACGCTCAACCGACTGCGCTATCCAGGCGCCCCTCAAAACATTTTAAATGCATCAATATTTTAATCTTGTTGATTTCCAAGATTGGAAAATAAATTTGCCCTGGCAGATAAAGTGCAGAACTTTCATTTATATTTGAATTTCGAATAAACGACAAATAATGTTTTAGTATAAATATGTCCCGAATATTGCATGGGACATTCTCATTGAAAAAATAGTGTTATTTGTCTGTAATTAAAACGTGATTCAGCCTCCTGTATTTTTTATACTGAATAATGCAGCAGCAATATAAACATATTGCCATTTCTATAGAAAATACTTTCAATACTTTGTACTTTTTTTCCCATTCCATTCACATTTTTCTTTTAATTCAGGAGAGATTTAAAAATATGTGCTTTGAGGGGCGCCTGGGTGGCTCAGTTGGTTAAGCATAGGACTGTTGATTTCGGCTCAGGTCACGATGTCACAGTTGGTGAGATTGGGTACTGTGTTAGGATCGTGCCGAGAGTGGAGCCTGCTTGGGATTCTCTCCCTCTTTCGCTGCCCCTCCCCGCTTGTTCTCTCTCTCTCTCTCTCTCTCTCCTCTCTCTCTCTTTCAAAATAAATAAATAACATTTTATTTATTTATTTTTTTTCAACGTTTATTTATTTTTGGGACAGAGAGAGACAGAGCATGAACGGGGGAGGGGCAGAGAGAGAGGGAGACACAGAATCTGAAGCAGGCTCCAGGCTCTGAGCCATCAGCCCAGAGCCTGACGCGGGGCTCGAACTCACGGACCGCGAGATCGTGACCTGG